GTGAGCTTTTGTAAATCAAATCGGCTAGGAATCGATATTCTTCCAATGGTGGAAGCGCATCTATTGATTCGACACCGATTGTCACCGCCGTTGCATATTTCTGCCAGTCAATGTTCCTTGTAAGATCAAATGGAACCCGAGATGGTTCTGCAGAGTGAGAGCCACACTTAATTGAAATGATGATTGGCAAATGATCGCTACCATGGGGATCATTGATAACCTTCCACTGACAATCCAATGATAGCGATCTTGAACACAAAGATAGGTCGAGTCGGCTTTCTCGAGCCGGAGGTTTTGCTATACGTGTCGCTTCACCAGTGTTCAAAATAGTCAAATTGAAATCGTCACATAAATCGTAAAAAATAGCCGCTCTATTGTCGTCATATAGATCGCCCCACCCAGTACCATGGGAGTTCATATCACCCAGAATTAATACTGGGGATGGAAGAATCGAAACTAGATTCCAGAGTTGACTACGGCTAATGGAGGTTCTTGGTGGAACGTATACTGAAGCTATGCAAAGATCTTTGTTCTTCACATTTATTTGGCAAGCAACGATTTCGACGCCGGATAGAGCAGGAAGGGAAATTTTGTAGAAAGGGTAGCACTTTTTGATCCCTAAAAGTACTCCTCCATAAGAATCGTCTCTATCCAGGCGTATAATGTTAAAATCGTGGAAGTTGAGTTCTTTATCGGAAGAAAGCCATGTTTCACAGAGAGCAAATATATCACAATCAGAATTGTGAAGTAAAAATTTGAACGAGTCTAGTTTAGGCACTAGACTACGGCAGTTCCACTGTAGCACAGTGATCATATCTTCAACCTCGTTCGACGAATTATCCATCGAAAGATATGATTGATGCAAGGAGGGGCCATGAAACAGTCAATTGCTTAAGATATGATTCTAACGTTGGAAGCAAGGCAGAAACTAAGCTTCTTAGAGGGTCTTGTATGTTGAACATGTTTAATATGAATTCCACAATGTCCGAAAAAGCTAGCAAACCTCGTTCGGACTTGGATTTCTTTTGAGAAGTTTGAGGAGCAGCTTTTTTATTTTTTTTATCTTTGTTGGGCAATGGCGGAAAATTCTTGCTGCATCCAGGGATTGGATCAACAGGAGCCTTCGGTTTTGTTTTTTCATCCCCATTACCCTGGGAATTTGGCAATCGTCTGGAGGTGACTTTAGTTTTCTTACGGCGCACTTTCGGGGAGGGGCATTTTCTTTTTGAGGAACCGTCTATTTTTGAAGGTGCGTGTACCACCGTAGAATCACCTTCATCGGATGAGTCAGAGTCCGATTCTTCAACTGACAAAACCGAAAATTGGTTTGCATCTTGGACGGCTGATGCAGCCTTCAACATTTGAGCATATGTCTGCTTGGAGCGTCCAGAGATTGAACGCTGCACTTTATCGGAGTGCTGTTTGTACATCGGGCACTCCTGCAAGGGGTGAGGATTCTCGCCACAGTAAGCGCATTTTACTGATTCTTTGTGGCAAGAATCCTCTTTGTGGTTTTCACCACATTTGCCACAACGAGTTTTGTTGCCGCAATGGCTGGCCGAGTGTCCCAGCCTTTTGCAGTTGGTACAATTATATACCCTCTGTACAAACAGTCGCACCGGAAAAAAAGCACCATCAATTTTAACAAAGTTTGGGAGAACTGAACCTGCGAAAGTCACCCGGAACGAGTCTGAATGTTTATAAACTTTTTTACCGTCTAGCAAAGATGCTGAATGCAGTTGCCTTACATCCAGTATCTTCACTAGCGCGGTAGCGAATGTCGAGTTTTTAAAAGTTCCCGAGGCATGTTTCAAGTCCTCGACAGTCAGACTCGCGTCGGAGACCACGCCTTCTATCTCCACATCTCGAGAAGGGATGTAGATGTTGTACTCAACACTAAACAACTCGTGATCAGCAATTTTATTTGCCACATCATAAGTCGGTGCTTCTACACGCAGTTTGTTGAATCTTTCTTTGTGTACCAAGATTCCCGGATACTTACGCAGCAAATCTCTCGTTATGTCGAGAGTTTTCAAAGGTTTATTTTTGGGCCGAAAAAAGACAACCCATGGTCCTTTCGAAGACGGTTCATAGTATCTGGTTCGCGTAACGTAGGCATCGGAAGATGCCATAAGTGTTGCGCAAAAGCGGTGCGCAACCACTTAAGAAGGAAAAAAAAAATAAAACCTACACTAATTAATTAATTTTAATTACTAGTAATTAAATTTTTTGCCCGACGTACGAACAAATCAAAAAGAAAAAAAAAATCGAAACAAAAAAAAAACTTATATCTACTTGCAAAAAGTTGTCTCACTATGACCCATACTCCCCTACCAGGGGTGAGAGACAGAGTCACGCGCCACGAGGCAAAATTAAACTACAATAGGGAGGCAATGGACTTGCAAAATGTATTGTCTAATACTTATGCCGGTTGTAAACAACCTATCAGCCGTTGCAGCTAGATGGTCCGTTTGCTGCTGCTGGTGGTGATGATTGGTGTTGGTGGGTCGGCACGATGATGAAAATGGCTTGACGACCGGATGGATTACCAGGGTGGATTAAAGCTGGATGGCAACTCCAAGGGGCTCGGCCCATGGAATTCCACTTCCTCTGTTGCACACTGGTCACTTGGGGCACCCAATGGGGGGTGAAAAAACCGCTCGGGCGGAAAAAACACCGAAAAAAAACTAGATGCCGCGCGACTGAGACCGGGACGTTGTTAACCGACTGAGTGTTCAACTAGGAATGATGTTTGGTTATTGTAAAGATAAATTTGAATGTCTATTAATAATATTTTTTATTCGAGATGCTTGAACATTTTTGGTTCTTATTACATACGATTAGTGTATAGTAGGTACTGTCTGACTGGTTTATTAAAACTAGAATTATTTTCCAAACATTCATTTTAAGACAGATATAAATGGTTTCAGTCTTTTGAAAAACCACTCTTGAAATAGGAGCTCGAGCTTAACTGAAGTTGTTCAAATAATATGTTAAGCCCGACAGCTATGAGCTTTTAATAAATCTGGTCTGGCGTACTTCTTGAGGCAAATGGAGCAGCTGTATGGACGTTCCATAGTATGTCGTAGCATGTGTCGTTTCAAATGAGCAGCCAATGTAAATTGCGCTTGGCATACTTCACATGTATACGGGCGTATTCCCCTGTGGTGAGTTTTCACATGTCTAGTCACACTGCCGGATGTCCTAAAGGATTTGTCGCATTCCTTACACTTGTAGGGTCTTTCATTCGTGTGGATTCGTATGTGAACATTCAACTCGGCAGAATTTGTGAAACCCTTATCACAGTAACTGCAAATAAATGTTTTCAACTGCAAATGCCTCCGGATGTGCTTTTTCAAGTTATACATTATACTAAAGGTCCTAGAACAATATTCACACTGGAACGGTTGATATTCTTTGTGGGTCAACAGATGCGTAGTCAGCGCGTTGACGTTTGTGTTGCATATTGGACAGAGTTTCTTTCTACTTTCTGCCTTGATTGCTTTTTGGCGGATCTTTTCTTGTTTAATTGTTTCTCGAGCTGTGTGTTCATCTTGTTCTTCACGAGCGGGTTCCAATTCATCAATCTCTATCTTTAAATCCTTGTATTCAAAAGTAATTCCACTATCGTTTATCAATGGATCATTGGGATTGAAATCTACCATTTCAGGAGATCCTTGAACAGAGCTTTCCAGGCTTGCGTTCTGATCAACCTTATTATTTTCTGCTGAACTATTTTCTAATTTTGTCGGTTGCACATCCTGAATGTACAAATCCTTGAACACAACGTCATTGGTGATGCACATTTCTCGAAAAGATTCAAAATTCTTTAGAACGGTTTTGCACTCCGAACACAGTGACGCTGGTGCGTTTGGATAACTGAAGATCTAAAATGAAGTGATTGATGATGAAAATGTTTACTTCTAAACGTTAGATGCTGGGAAACCTTCAACGTTGTGAGATTTTCAATCCACTCATGCAGCAAACCGCAATCATTTCCGAAAATTGATTCAGAATTATCCCGTTCCGTCAAACACAAACGGCAAATTGATTCGTTTAATTTTTCCTTTTTAATACTACTGGTGGCCATTGTAGTCACAATTTTGTTTGTATTCGGAATAAATACTATTCGATTCACGCTCTATATTTTACTTTCCTTTGAACTACTTTTCCAAAACGAGGAAACTTGAATGGAATACATCAAAACGAACTATACAGAGCAAAGTGGCAAAATTGTTGTTATGAAAAGGATAAACCTCTAATGTCACATTGATGTACTAAAACTCTCGAAGCTTGTTTTATTCGTTTTATCGAATCTCGGTGTTGTTCAGGTAAATGAAAATCGGATCACTTGATGTTACTACCAACGCTACCTCGTTCGTACAAATTGTAATTAATATTGGTACCAAGTAGAATGGCTGGTACCTGTATCTGGAGAGACTCTCCATTTTGGAGAGTTATAGTACGTTCAGACTACAGAGTTATAACAAGAGTGTTATAATAATTATCGTCAAAAAATCTGTCATCAAGATAGTCTGTTAACATGTTATAACTTTGTAGTCTGAATATAGAAATACGAAATTTTTGCCTTTGACAGTTCTTCTGCTCGATTTGAATGACATTTAACAATTCGTTGGCAAATAATAAGCTGTTCCAATTTTGATGTGTCGCATTACTTCTAATAAAACCGGCACTGTAGTACCAACTAATGACAAATCATAATGAGGACCAGCTAAATGATGTGTTGCATTGGTTGTTTAGGGCCATGTATTAACTATGTCACTCGAAATTGTGGAAATATTTACCACGGAGGTACGCGTCACGTTATTTTATAGGGCCAATAAATACAGCAATATGCTAGTACAACCGCTATGGTATTACCGTTTACCGTACGATACAACCATATATTATATGGCAAAGCAAGGTTGCATTGTGTATTTGCCCCACAATCAAGACAACCCCTCCTTCTCCCTCACTACAACGTGTCATAATTAATGGATAACTCCTTAGAAATGTTCGGTTTTTATTTCAAATACTTTGTACATATTAATACATTGAATTTATTGATTCTACAGTTATTTCTAAAACATCCGGTATCAAGAAAAAGAGATCGATGGATGAAAACAGAATGGCTTCACATTCTTTTTATAAATCACTCTTGCGATGAGAGCTTAAATGTAAAAAATATTTGTTTATGCCCGGCAGCTATGAGCTTTTAACAAATCTAGTCGTGTGTATTTCCTGTTGCAAACGGAACAGCAGTACGGACGTTCCAGAGTATGACGCAGCATGTGGCGTCGCAAATGAGCAGCCAATGTAAATTTTGCCTGGCAAACTTCGCACGTGTGCGGTCTTATTCTTTTGTGGAAGGTCTGTACATGCCTGCTTACGCTGCCAGACGTCCTAAATGATTTGTCGCATTCGCTACACTTGTAGGGTTTTTCATTGGTATGAATTCGTACGTGAACACTCAACTCAGCAGAATTTGTGAAGCCCTTATCACAGTAGCTGCAAACAAAGGTTTTCAACTGCAAATGTCTCCGGATGTGCTTTTTCAAGTTACACATCATATTAAAGGTCCTAGAGCAATATTCGCATTGGAAGGGTTTGTATTCTTTGTGAGTTAACAGATGCTTTCTCAATGCGTTGACGTTTGTGTTGCATATTGGACAGAGTTTCTTTCTTATTTCTGCCATATGTGCTTTTTTACGTATCTTTTTTTGTTTAGCTGATTCTTCATCTGGTTTTTCAGTCCCGGATATCTTAGCGTCAGTTTCTATCTTTGCATCCTGGTATTCTACAGTAATTTCAGTTTCGTCCGCCAAAAAATCAGTAGGGTTGAAATCAACCATTTCGGGAGATCTTATACTAATGTTTTCTGCACTTTCATTTTGATCAACTTTGTTATCACTTTTTACTGAAATATTTTCCAAATATTTCACTCGATCATCCTTCAGGTACAATTGCTTGAATACTATGTCATTCGTTATGCACATTTCTCGAAAGGATTCGAAATTCTTCAAAATAGTTTTGCACTCCGAACACAGCGATGCTGGTGCGTTTGGATGACCGACAACCTGAAAAGAAATTAGTTTGATTATTGGAATGTTTGGTTCTATACGTAAAATGTCAGTTAACCTTTAACGTTGTGAGACTTTCAATCCAGTTTTGTAGGGAATCGCAGTCATTGCCAAAAATTGATTGAGAATATTCACGTTCCGCCAAACACAAACGGCAAATTGATTCAACCGATCTTTCCTTTTTAACATTACTGGATGTCATTGTAGTAACAATGTTGTTTAAATATTTCGAAAGTGTATTATCTAGCTCCCGTAAAATATTTTACTTTCCCTTAATTACTTTTTCAGTCGAAAATTAAAGGATGATGTAAATTCAATCGAATGTATGATAACAAAATACAGTGCCAAATGGCAAAAAAAAAATCTGTAAGGAAGTGAGACACACCTCCACTGTCAAATGTATGTACTAAAACTTGGAACTTGGTAAATATTGCCCACGCAGATGAAACTTGAAGGAGTACTTGGAATTAGAAATACTCAGAGTGGATGGTGGAGGAATATTTTGTGAAAAAAATCACATGTTTTAATTAAAGTTTATGTTTCACGATTTTGGACAATTTTTATTTGTTCATTGTGTCCATTTAGGAAAGTTATCATTTTTTATAAGATTTAATAAACACAATTTTAAAAATCTTCAAAAAGTACAATTTTTGTTATTGAAGTTTTTTGCCGAAAATTTGCAATCTGAACACTTTTTAGTTTTAACCCCGCTAGTCTGCACACCCTGCAAACCAAAAAATTCTCAATCGTCATTTAGAACAAGGAATGGAGTAAAGATAAATGGATCGATGCGAAACGGAACGAAGAATCAAAAGAAACCAGCAAATAAGGCTAAGTACTCATAGGGTTACTAGAAGTTAAAATTGAAAATGAATCCCGGTAATATGCAAGAAGTGTCGTTCGATTAACGGGGGCCCACAGGGGTACACGACGTTAGGCATACGGTCGTTAGGCATACGGACGTTAGGCATACGACCGTTAAGCATACGGACGTTTGGCATAATGTACGATAGGCATAATGGACGTTAGGCATAATCTACCCGATGAATTCTAGAAGGATGATAATGGGGACCGTCTATTGATTGCTGACATCGGTGGCAATAATGAAAGAGTTTAAATTTTTTAGACTCATGAAAACTTGCGACGTCTTGGACAGACAAAGTATTGGGTTGCAGATGGTACGTTTGTCACAGTGCCTTGTTTGTTTTGGCAACTCGTCACTGTTCCGCTAGTTTGCATTCTGATGACAACAAAAACAGAATCGTTGTATCGAAAAGTATGGGAGGAAATCCTGGAAGCAGCAGGTATGTTTTTTGTTATTGAATGAAAAACCACAGAATTCACCATTCTTCATTTCATGAGCTGTTTTTTGGCGTCATATTTTATTCAACCTTAGCTGTTTTTTTGTTATTGAATGGAAAATCACAGAATTAACCATTCTTTATTTAATGAGCTGTTCTTTGAGGAAAACCTTTTTTTCTTGACAATTGCAACATGTGTGTAACACAAAGTTATCAAATTGCAACAAATGTGTGATTTTTTTTATTTCAAGATATAGTGGAAACGGCTCTAATGTTGGCCTGTGGATCTAAGATTGGGCCCACCACTAAATATCCGCTATTTATCAATTTTATCTAGATGAACGCGTCATTGGGACGGTACTAATGGATATTTTTGGTCGCTATTGAAAATTTAGTCGATTGCTGAATTTATGTATGGGCCCAAATTGGGCTCATTTACGCCGACATTATATCTATTTCCCCTAGCTCAAGACTATGCTGAGTTTTCAGATTACTTAACCGCTATTACTACTAATCTTTGATCTATGTAAATATGTAGATACGTCACCTATGATATGATAAATAATGGATTCCAAACTGTGCTTATTAAATAAACTATGTTTGTATAACTTGTATCAACTTTTATCCAACGCTTAACCTAATTAAAGCATTGTTTACCATGCTCAAAACAGGTTTCAAGAGTTGCACAGCAGCAAGGTATTTTATGCCTAACGTCCATTATGCCTAACGTCCATTAAACCTAATGACTTTATGATTAACGTCCATTATGCCTAACGTCCACAGTACACCATTTAAAAAAAATTAAGCTTTGGCCGAATGCCAGCGCAAACTTGGCTCATTACCCCTAACGAACAATTGGGCAATTACATTGATGCTTTAATTTTTTTTATATCAGTAACCGGTGGAAACTAACGATTTTAAATTGGCTCACTACTTGACTAGTCTATTGGTCCCAAGCAAATCGATTAACGTACCCCATTCTAGTCGAAATTCTAGTACTACACTATCTGAGTACTGCGGACTCACTCAAGGTGCTTGTCACTTGGGAGCCAATGTTAACTGTCAAGCGGGAACCAAACATTCAGAAGCAGCAAATGCAGTTACTGTTCTTATCTGCCGTCAAGCATTGTAATGTCATAAAAATGATCTATACTTTTTCAAAACACATTCTTAAGTTTAAGCTCAAAGATAAAAACCAACAGGCTTAGTGATGAAAGCATAAAAACCAGCATAGTTTTTATGAGGCAGCTGAGTTTTCAATTACAATAATACATACTTTGGCGAAACATGTATGTAAACAAACTTTGATAGAGTCATGGGGGCTCGACGGCTCGAGCACTCCTGGCTCAGAGCTTTTGGCGGGAATCAACTGAGAAAGAGCAAACCAGGTTTTAACTTGAGAAAATTTTCAAGCAGTTTTCCATTGGCTTGCAAAATAAAATTGGTCGACTCCGCAGTACCCAGTACACTATGTTTGTGTTGATTCGCTATGAAAGTTTGACAGATAAAATGAGGGGTTCGTGGATTTTCCTATGTTTCGAGGGGTGCATCTGAGCCAAAAATTTGAGCAAGTTTCTTCGGGACCTACTAGTCTTAGGGTTACCTCTATGGTAACACCATAGAGGTAACTCTAAGACTAGAAGGTCCCGAAATAACGTGCTCAACTTTTTGGCTCAGCTCTGGTACTCTCTTCGGTCCCAAGCTAATCGATTCACCCCTCGAAACATAGGAAAATCCACTAATCCCTCATTTTATCTGCCAAACTTTCATAGCGAATCAAAACAAACATTGTGTAGTAGTAGAATTTCGACTAGATTGGGGTACGTTAATCGTTTTTTTGGGACCAATAGGCTAGTCAAGTAGTGAGCTAGTTTAAAATCGTTAGTATCGTATTGATTGTTGGTAACACCGTCAATAACAATATCTCGAGAATTTTCGATGGTAGGATTTTGGTAGGTTCTTGCAATTCGCGTTTCGGAAAAAAAAAATTTGCAATTAGATTTTGCACCGTCGGAGTTGACCTCAATCAGTTCGAGGGGGGTGTCTCTATCTACGATGCAGGAAACATTTTGTGTTGCTGTGATTAGCTGCGCGCACGCTAAGTAGATAGAAAGAAAATTGATGACGATTCTGAAGATTTCCTGCAAAAAAATGATGCACGAAGCAAGCAATGAAAAATGATTTTTCGTAGATTGATTCGCTAGTGTGAGATTTTTCGAGCATCTGGAATCAAGATTTAGATTTGACGCCCCCTCGAATCAGTTGACAGTTGGTACTGTTTACGTGGACTTAGGCTGTGAACCATTTGCCGAGTTAAATTTAACTCGTGGTTAAAAGTGACATTTCGAAAGTTATTTTCTGTGTTGGAAAATCCCTGTGCTGTCGTACGACCAGTTTTCGAGAAGAACTTAGCCAAGGTTGTCAAAATTTAACTTCTTGTCGGTCAGAAATTACCACGCTCAGATAGCAGAGTTAATCGATAACTTTCCAGCTGTAAAATTTTAACCAAAAGTTAAAATAATCCACCAAATGGTTCAGAGCCTTAGTAGATTTTCTCGTAAATTTTTAAGACTGCAGGGACATGTAATCCACACATTTCCTCGGTAATTTTCAAATTAAAATTCGGAATTTTTAAAATTATATATTTCGAAAAAAATCGAGACCATTTTTAAAATGCCAGTTGTTCCGAATCACCCTGTATTACTTTATTTTTGGCATATTCAGAACAAAACTAATATTTTTTTGTCTTTAAATTTATATTTATTTTATTGAAAATCAGTGTAATATAACGTGTTGAGTTCTATATCACTAGCTTTATGAAGCAAAAATAAAAATAAATCTTAGTAAAAGTATTGTTATTATAACTATGATGTATTCAATAGATTTTTCATGAATGTTTTGACCGATGGTTTACAATTTACAATTTTCAAGAAATTTCTGTTTGCTAAACAACTTGAATACGTCAGTTTTAGCCATTACGTCCTTACAAATCGCCTAGTGGATCATCTCCTGTGTTAAGTGTTCTTTTTTATGGCGCACCAAATGTTCTGGTAATGTGAATTTCAGTTGGCACTCTTCGCACGTGTATGTGTGTCTTTTCGTATGTCGTTTGTGCCTTATCAAATTTCCAGATGTTGAAAACTTCGACTGGCAAACATCACATGTGTACGGTTTTACTCCAGGATGAGACCGCATATGTTGCATCATCCGGTTTGATGAATCAAACGAAGCGTCACATTCTTCGCATTTGTATGACTTTACTTGCATATCGTTTCGTTGCTGCTGTACCTCACAGTAGCTTTGACTATGCCGCGATAGTAAACTAGATGTGGAAAACAGTTTGTCGCATGCATCACATTTGAAATACGTTTCCTGTTTGTGTATTTTGACGTGAACTTTCAACTCAGCTGGATTTTTAAAAACTTCAGAACAGTAACTGCAAATATTCGTTTTTTCCACAGTATGCATTCGAGTATGAGCTTCAAATCTCCATTTTACCATGAATGTTTTCGAGCAGTATTCACATTGAAGTAATGGTTTTTTATTGTCATCTGGGTTTTTGTTAATTTTGCAGTAACTCTTGTTATGTCGTGACAAATGGCTTGTTGTTTTGAATGACTTGTCGCAGTTTTTACACTTGAAAGGTCGTTCCAAAGTATGGCTTCGTAAGTGAACGTTCAACTCGGCGGAACTGATGAAAGCCTTATCACAATAACTACATATATAAGATTTTTCTATTCGGTGTCTCCGAATATGATTGTGATACTTATGCTTTGCATTGAATTTTTTGGAGCAGAACTCACATTTTATGGGCGGATAGTCCTTGCGAATAGATTTCCTCTTGTGTTTTGCACTGTTTCCTTTTTTCGTTATGGCATCATCCTTTTTCTCAAATGGTAGTATACCATCATCATCAGTTTCAGTATTCTCATCCAGTTGATCAGTAGGACTGATATTGTAGTCTATGTTTTCACCAGTATGCAACACATTTGTTTGATGTACTGTAACTTGATTTTCTTCTGCAATATTGTGCGTGCTCTTAGGATGGTTCGTTATCAATTCCAGTTGTTTTTCTTTTTCATCATCATAATTTTCCTCAGGATTAACTGTATAGTTAAGTGCTATTTTTATATCCTCGTACTCAGCAATTTCTGTTGTATCTACCTGTAAATAAATGGTGGAGTCTAATATATCTGTTTCCCGACTATCATTGTGATCAATTACAACTTCACTTACTACTGAGTTAGTTTCCGTAACACCTGTATGGTTATTCTGGGTAAACATCTCTTTGAACACACGATCATTGGTGAAACACATTTCTCGAAAAGATTCAAAGTTTTTTAATATGTTTTGACATTCCAAGCATAGTGTAGCAGGAGCACCGGAAACTTTGTTGATCTGGAAGAAATTGCATTGGATTATAACATTTTGTTTACTGCAGCCTTGCATCCGCTTACAAACCTTCAAAGATGTGAGATTCTCAATCCATTCATCCAGTGAAGAATAGGTGTCGATGAAAATCAACCGGTAATGCTCGCGCTCCATAAAGCACAGGCGGCAGATCAATTCAGCCGATTTCTCCTTCTTTATTTCACAAGACACTGCATCCATTTTGGTCGCAACAAGTTGATTCTATATGGAAAGAATTCACAAGTGAATGCATGTATACTTTAACACATCTAGGTTTAGGTATATTTTGAAAAAGAATCGAAATAAAAATAGTTCGCAGAGGTAAGCCAGTCGACAAATAAGCTTAACGTCAAATTTTAGAACAACGTTGATGTCAAAGTTTAGAACAACGTATGATGATGTCAGGGGCGGGTGCAAAGTCATAATGCTATACACAGCAAAAAATCCTTGGGTGAAAAAATACTATAGTATACTCTCTCAAGACTATCACGATTTCTACAGCCGCATATGCTACACTATGCTCTGCTTTATGTGTATTTAGAATTATTTTAACGCTTTATTGATATTTGATTGTACTATATAAAGTACATAATCGCATTCGAACGTGTGAGAACTCGGTCGGAGAGATGTGAAATAGAAAAAAAGCGATATTGGATATTTTCAAAGCCGCTATTGTAGAAATTTTTTAGCTGAAGAAGCATATTTTTGTCTGAATAAGCTCTTATTCAGCAATTAATGTTTGTTGGATCGCTTGATCCGGTTTGGAAAACATTGTTAAGTGCTTTCGGGATGTCATTTAATTTGAATAGCTTTTTGTACCTGATGTGAAGTAAGAGGCATGGTGGCCTTAGAGCAACCCTTTTTGCTTACTGAGCATTAAATTGTGGTTTAGAACCCAAGACCCTGAGAATCAATAGTGAAGTCAACTATATCTGTTTCCTGACTTTCACTGTGATCAATTTCAACTTCACTTACTACTGAGCTAGTTTCCGTAACACCTGTATGGTCATTCTGGGTAAACATCTCTTTGAACACACGATCATTGGTGAAACACATTTCTCGAAACGATTCAAAGTTTTGTAACATGTTTTGACATTCCAAGCATAGTGCAGCAGGAGCACCGGGAACTTCGCTGATCTGAAAGCAATTGCATTGGATTATATCATTTTGTTTACTGCAGCTCTGCTTTCTCTAACAAACCTTCAAAGATGTGAGATTCTCAATCCATTCATCCAGTGAAGAATATGTGTCAATGAAAATCAACCGAAAATGTTCACGCTCCAGAAAGCACAGACGGCAAATCAATTCATCCGATTTCTCCTTCTTTATTTCACAAGACACTGCATCCATTTTAGTCGCAGGAAGTTGTTTCTATTTAGAAAGAATTCACAAATGACTGCATTTATACTTTTACGCATCTAGTTAGCAGAGGAAGCCAATCGACAAATAAGGTTAACGTCAAATTTTAGAACAACGTATGATGCTCTCAGGGGTGCAATTCCGTAATGCTATACACAGAAAACAAATCCTTGGACCAAAATACTATACCTATTATATACACGGATATAAATCCCCTTATATATTTTAGCTAATTGGGTTCTTTAAGGGTATTGAGGTAAGTGCTTATTCGTATTCTGCATTAAAAATGGAACCCAAACCCAAATTTTCATCAATTTTGGTACACTGGAATTATTTTAAATAAGAACGATTACATTTGCAAAAATCACCTTATTACCGCCCCTCGGTGTCACTTTGTATGGGAGCGAGCTGTCAGTTTGTCAGTTTAGTGTCAACCAGTGAAGTTATTATTTTGCTTTAAATCTTGATTTAAAAATCGAGATGAAAGTGTGTGGGCTCAAAAAAAATATCGCTGTGTTCAGAAAACGAACCTCTTTCGATATTTTTTCTTTCTAAATTAAAGAACCCAAATTGCTGATTATTTATAAAATATATAAGTCAACTAATAAGCAGGAGGTACATGAGGGTGGATTGTCGTTTTAATTTCCGTCACCGTTGCATCGGTGAATAAACGTAGAGGAAGCACTGTGGTGGCGTGTAAGTGATCTGAACCTCGGGACGGTTGATGGGACAACTGGAATGAAACACAAAAATGGGCCTATCTTGGGAGAACAATGAGAGTACTGACACATCAATTTAAAAAAAAAACAACTAAAGACTCCTTAATTCTCAAATCGATCCGTTTAAGAAAATTATAAATCAACGGGTGTTGCAGATTGATTTCCTCGGGCCCTACTACTCGTTACTGATAGAACTCGAACGGAAGCGTATGAACAGTACGGAAAAAAGTAATATCTCTAGAAAAATATGACTTTCGCTTGATCCGGTTTGGAAAACATTGTTAACTGCTTTCAGTGACGGCATTTTATTTGAATAGCTTCTTGTACCAGGACTTGAACGATCGTCGGTCGTAGCTTGTTGTGATGTAAGGGCCACGGTGGCCTTAGAGCAGGGTTCCTTCCATTCATTTCGGCAAAAAAATGTTTTACTAAATTATGGAACAATAAGATATTATGATAATATTTTGTTTGCGTAAGCAAAAAGAAAATATTGTAAAGTTTGTGTTTGACATATAATACCTGCCAATTTCACTACATGAGAGTCGCAATAAGCGATTTTGTCATTAATCTCACCCACTCTTCGCTCTTCGCGAAAAGGCGATCAGAAAACCACTCATTGTGACTCTGTCAAAGCTAAATTTGCAAGTTTTATGTGTCAAACACAAACTTTACAATCTTGTCTTGTTGCTTACGCAAACCAATTATTATCATAATATCTTATTATTCCATAATTTAATAAAACATTTTTTTAGTCGAAATGAATGGAAGAAACCCTGTCTTAGAGTATCCGTTTTTGCTTACTGAGTAGAAGATTGTGGGTTAGAACTGAAGACCCTTTACATGACTGCATTATCGCATCATTTGCTTATCATACTTTAAAAGATTACATCACTTTCCAAAGTGAATCCATATCTAATTCACCAATAAGTTGCAGATATATACCAAAGTAGAATCATAGAGGTACACAGAAAAAAAAAAGTTGTTGAATATTACATCCAAACTTCTGCAACCAGGTCAATCCATCGGTTGTGTAATATAACGTTGTACGATGTACATCGATTTTGCGAACAAAATTACATCCATTGATATAATATTGTATCTGCTTTTTGCTATAACATCATTATTTCATACATCAGCTTGAATTAAATTGATAGATATTACATTTTTTTTTGCTGTGTAACTTTAAGACCAAAAGGTAACGATTTTAAATTGGCTCACTGCTTGAAAAGCCTATTGGTCCCAAGCTAACGATTAACGTATCCCATTCTAGTCGAAATTCTAGTACTACACTATGTTTGTTTTGATTTGCTATGAAAGTTTGACAGATAAAATGAGGGGTTCGTGGATTTTCTTATGTTTCGATGGGTGCATCGATTAACTTGGGACCGAAGATAGTACCAGAGCTGAGCCAAAAAGTTGAGCACGTATCTTCGGGACCTTCTGGTCTTAGAGTTACCTGTATGGTAATACGACATGCACTAACCTAAGGACACGGGATATACTACAATAGATCTAATTACTGGTCGCAGTTGTGTTAGGTCCCGAACAAAGGAAAATAAAACGAGTAGTAGAAAATGTAGTTTTAAACTGATTTAATCGTTTATTTTTCAATATGATTATTTGCCAACAGTTGGTCAATGCTACTTATCACTTACTCTAGTGCACCTTCAACAAGTCTGTTACCATGATCCGCTCATCTCGCTGTGAGGTTACGCATGGATGTGATGCTCATTTGGTCACAGTTTTCACAGTAGAATGACGTCTCCTTTATGAAATCAACTTTGCGTGAACTCGTTTGTGTCGTGCTAAATGGGATTTTTGAGCAAAACGCCCTTGACACACATCGCATACGAATGGTTTTAATCCACTGTGAGTTTGGGAATGTCGCAGCAAATGGCCGGATGTGATAAATGCTTTGCCGCAGTTTTTGCACTGGTATGGTCTTTCCTGTGTGTGACTTCTAATGTGAATTCTCAAATTAGCTGAGTTCGTGAATCCTTTATTACACTGACCACAAATATATGGTTTCTCTTGGGTGTGCTTTCGAATGTGCATTCTTAGTTTGTACATCTGGGCAAATCCATTGGAACAGTATTCGCACTTGAAGGGCCTTGTTTCCTTGTGTATGAGCTGATGCTGAGTCATTCGATGCACAAATATTTTGCAGATTAAACAATATTTGCGTTTATCTTTAGTACAGTTTGAATTTCCTGCAAGAGACTCACTCTTCTCGTATTCCTGAACATGCTCTGTGTCCCAACTTGTCTCATTTCCTTCTGTATCATTTTGGGTGCTCATATGGCCCAACTCCTCGTGGACACTTCGGTGGCTTAGCAAATGAGAAGATTGATAATATGACGCTGGACACATATCGCACGAGTATGGTTTTAAACCGTTGTGACCTTGAATATGCCGCTTCAAATTGCTGTGTGTGGTGAATGATTTGCCGCAGTCTTTACACTTGAATGGCCTCTCCTGTGTGTGACTTCTGATGTGAATTTTCAAACGGGTTGCATTTTTGAATCCCTTATCACACAAACTACAAATATGTGCTTTCTTATTTTTTGTTACTGTTTGCACAAGAGACTGGCTCTTTTCGAGTTCAAGATCCTCTTCTGTATCGGAAGATGACTCGTTTTCTGCATTATTATCATCATTATTATCCTCTGAATTGAGTAAACTGGCATCTTCTATTTTAATAGCTGGGTACTCAATTCTAATTTTAGTATTAACTACCTCGGAAATTGTGGTATTCAAAATGTCTGTTTCCTGGATCTCTCTGTGATCGATTTGAACTTCGCTTACTTCTGAAACATTACTCGAAACTTCGTTATGGTTAAACTTGAGATCATCCTGGGTATCATCTTTTATATCGGGAGAGGACTCGTTTTCGGCCGTATTATCCTCTGAATTGAGTAAACTGGCATCCTCAATTTTAATATCTGAGTACACGATTGTAGTTTCAGTATTATCTACGTCGGAAATTGTGGTATCCATAATGTCGGTTTCCTGGATCTCACTGTGATCGATTTTAACTTCTCTTACTGTTGACATATTATTCGAAACTTCAGTATGGTCATTCTTGGGATTATCCTGGCTAAACATCTCTTTAATAACACGATCATTGGTGAAACACATTTCTCGAAACGATTCAAAGTTTCGTAATGTGTTTTCACATTCTATGCATAGCGATGCTGGCACGTTTGGAACATTCATAATCTGAAAAGAATTGCATTGGGTTATATTATTATTTCGAGTTTATTTTTTACTGCATATCAACAAACCTTCAAAGATGTGAGATTCTCAATCCATTCATTCAGTGAAGAATATTCGTCAATGAAAATTAACTGAAAATGTTCACGTTCCGCAAAGCACAAGCGGCAAATCGATTCAGTTGATCTTTCCTTTTTAATTTTGTTAATCGCCATTGTAGACATAGTGTTAGGAAAGAATTTCTTTCCTGTAATTACTTTTTGATCGAAACTTGCAGGACGAAGAAATCAAAACAAAATACAAAGCAAATTGTAACACTTTTTTTTATAAACAGGGAAACTTCTGTAGCGGTAAGTTCCAACTCGGATTAACTTTTAATACGGATCCTGTTTGGGTGATCTGCAAAATGTTTTCTTAGAGTCGCGTTGATGAACTCTGATGTCGATATCAAAGCAGCTGGACATTCTGGATCGGGATTTAATCCGAGGATAATACCGGTTGGAGCTTACCACTACTAATGTTACATTGATGCTAAGAGAAGAGGTGACAATACTAAAGCCCTCTAGTTAAAGTATGGACGACTGTCACCACAAAACTGAAAAAAGCTGTTCCAATCGAGCAAAGCGGTGCATTTTGACGGTTCGATTGGAACAACTTTTGACAGACGTCCATACTTTTACTGTAGGGCTTTAGACAATACGGGGGCGAAAATGAACCACTTTTCTGTCAAACGTGAACCAGCTCCTGATTGGCCGATTTAATGTGCGTAAGATAGAGATAGAGATAGAAAAAGATAGAGATAGAAATAGAAATAAAAGAGGAAGAAGCCAATTGTCACCTCTTCCTCTTAGCATTGATGTACCAAAACCATTGGATCGCCTGTTTGTATGAATCTTGGTACACGCTATTTCAAAACTACCCAAATTTGGGAAGAATCGACCAAGATATTTATGTAAATATAGGTAGCTTGTTGGATTGTTGGTAGATTGTTGGTAGATAAGTACACGGTGTTTCGCAAAAACCCATTAATGGGTATAAAAATACCCATTTCCGCTAAAAGTGCCCCTCCTCATTTAATGGGTAAACTATGGTTTACTCATAAATGGGTAAATGGGTGGTCTGTCAATAAATGGGTGTTTTTTCACCCATTTTCTTATATTGTGTTTACCGTAAAATGGGTGAAAAAATACCCATTTTTACAAATGGAGGATGCAAGCGCTCGTTGATGTAAAAATGTTTTTAAAACATTGAAAATAAATGCAGGTGTTCCGCTCAAATTTTTCACGAAACATTATAATACAAATTATCCATTGTATTGACTTATCCGTAAGCCTCTCCAACGTTTTGGATTCTAATATTTTCCGGAGATCGTTGCTGCGGACAGTAACTGTTTGCATCGTGGTTTGCATTCCCAATGACGGAAATGAGACGATAAAATTTCGAAGTGTTTTTTCACCCATTAATGGGTAAAAAATATACCCATTATTCAACCGTGAACTGATTCTTTAAATGGGTATTTTTTCACCCATTTTATGATTTCAAAATTCCCCATTTTTTGACAGCTGCATACATGGTTTGAAAATGGGTATTTTTTTACCCATTAATGAGTTTTCACGAAACACCGTGTAGGTATATACCTGAGTACTGCGGACTCAACCAATGTGCTTGTCAACTGGGAGCCAGCGTAAACTGTCAAACGGGAGCCAAACATTCAGAAGCTACAAAAGTAGTTACCCTTCTGTTCCATTGCCAAAAAATGTTATCTGTTAGAAATCAGAAAATCTCTTTCGTAACATATTTTAATTTGTAAGCTCAACAGTAGAAACCAACGAGCCACGCGACAAAAGCATACACGCTAACTCCAGAGTACCCATTAAGTGAGTATCTTGTACACATTTTTAGAACTGGTTCTAAAATGTCAAAAAATGAGTATTTTCGTAATATTGAAAAATGGGTACTTTTTCCCCTTCTTTGAAAACCTGTTCTGGAATAAAAATGACTAAAAGAGATTCATTATTGATTCAGTGCGAAAGTGACGGCATTTTGCAAGTGCAAATCAGTTATATTTGACGGGAGTAGAGATTTCTCATAAGATTGGTGCATGTGCATGCGAATGGGATTTCATTCTGACAATCGAGAAAATGGAAGCCCTAAAAGACCAACAGAACCCAGAAAAGTACGGAAAACTGAAAGGTAGTATATTTTTCGTTTATTTTGATTTTTCTGTAATTCATTCAGCATTATCTTGTTTTGTTTCCGGATGCACTGTGTTAGTTTCAGCTTATCTGAATCCTGTTCCATAACGGTGCTGGTGTGGCTCAATACAGCTTTCATTTAAAGCTTTGAAGGCCCATATCATGTAGTGTCACCTCCAGAAAGCTGGACAAGATAATGACCATTTTCCGGATGTTAAGCCGATGGAAGTAAAGCAAGTGCAGAAGGAGGATAGGATGGACGAGTATCCCATAAAAAATCTCTTCTATTACCGCAGCAAACCGATAAAAGCAAAACTTTGGGAGCTTGCATCGGCAGCTATCTATAATCCACAGACAAACAGACATAACACATTGAATATTTCTCACTGTAAAACATTGTCGCTAAAACATTACCGCCATCTGTTGAGTACACTGTGGTGGGCACTACACTGAACAGATGGCGGCAGTGTGTAAACGTCAAACGCAAGGGAATTGACTATGCGCGCCACAGGTGGCGGTACTACCAACTACGATACTTTTAAATTGTCCGTTAAATGCTTGTTCGATGAATAACTTACGAGTGTTATGTCTGTTTGTCTGTGTATAATCTATAGATCAAATATTTCATTGATTTTTGCTGGAATTTTTTTAATAAAGAAAGTGATTGTTTGATTATTTTAAGTTGAGCTTTGTGTGATGATTTTAAGTTGAATTTTGACGTTTTTATTATTGATGGTAATAAGTCCTAAAGGCTAGTTTTTTTTTCTAAAAAATGGGTACTTTTTCCCCATTACTGAAAAACACGATGATTAAAAAATACTCATTTTATGAAGTACTCGTCAAATACTCATCAATGAGTAAAGTTGGTTTTACTCATTTCATGAGTTAAGCCACTTTTCTTCGAAATGGGTACTTTTTTACTCATTAATGGGTACTTCGGGGTTAGCGTGTATGCAACAGCACAGTTTTTATGACTCAGTCGGGTTTTCAATTTTAATAAAACATACGTTGGCAAAACAGGTACGAATCAAACTTTATTAGAGTCATGAGGGTTCGAGCACTCCTGGCTCAGCGATTTTGGCGGGATCCAACTTAGGAATAGCAAAAACAATTTTGCACTTGAGAAAATTTTCAAGTAATTTTTCATTGGCTTGCAAAACAAAATCGGTGGACTCCGCAGTACCCAGGTATATACAAAGTAAAACGAACTATGATTTTTGACATGATTTTTACTATAAGGACAGAGCAATAACGCATTCATTGCTTTAAATCACTAGTTATGTTAGGATTATTGATACTATAGATTACATACACAGCAAAAAAAATGTAATATCGAGCAACGTAGTTTAAGCTGACGTATGAAATAATGATGTAATAGCAGAAATCAGATACAATATTACATCAACAGATGTAATTTTGTTCGCAAAATCGGCATGCATCGTGCAACGTAATATAACACCACCAGCGGAATGACCTCTGTGCAGATGTTTGGATGTAATATTTAACAACTTTTTTTTTCTGTGTAGATAACCGAAGGCGAAGTAGAATCAACAATCAATACGAAACTAACGATTTTAAATTGGCTCACTACTTGACTAGTCTATTGGTCCCAAGTACATCTATAAGCGTATCGCATTCTAGTCGAAATTCTAGTACTACACTATGTTTGTTTTGATTCGCTATGAAAGTTTGACAGATAAAATGAGGGGTTCGTGGATTTTCCTATGCTTCGAGGGGTGCATCGATTACTTTGAGACTGAAGAGAGTACCAGAGCAGAGCCAGACATTTGAGCACGTTTCTTCGCGACCTTCTGGTCTTAGAGTTACTTCTATGGTAGAATGTATTTAAACGAGCATGACTTCATGATATATTCGCGAGGGAAGTATAGTAATATTATGAGCAAATTTATTATTTATTTTCATTTCATTCTAATGTTATTCGAGAATATTACGCAACCCACTACTCGATTCACTCTTGCAAAGATTTTCTCTGCACTTCATTATGAAATTTGAGCACGAAACAAAACAAAACAAAACTGCACAACGATGGCATGAACATTTTCCACATTTTTCATAGATGCAAAAAAAAACCTTTTTTTGCATCCACAGTATCTATAGTTAGGATGACATATGTTTCATGCCTGTTTTTAGGGGTATGCGGTATGAAATCCCGAAATTAGCTAAACATTACGAAATCTTCGTCTCAAATCCATCTAAACTCTCACAATGTGGATTTTGCCAGCTTATTGCAAACGGTAGTTCTGTAAGACCCTATGCAATCAAATATTCTCCTTATGATCTTCAGAATTATTCTTAATCATAAATTTAGATCAGACGAATTATTACCTACACAAAACGAAACGAAACTACATGTTCAATTTCCGGAAATAACAATCATCTGCAGAGAATATTGTATTAGACTGAATGATCTGGGCAACAAAACCATTTTCTGACCGATTCATTGCCATAATGCTGCGGCCAATTAAAACATCTCAAATTTGAGATTCGTTTGCTGAAATTCGCGAAAACTTAGGTTACTCATAGGCTAAATATAGTAAATTATCAACAAACACACGGCCAATGAGATCAACCCTAATTTGAGTTCAGTTTACTCATAATCGCAAAAAGTGCAAGAACTCAGCGATGAGTAAATTGTCATGTCTTTTTCTGCGGAAAACCTCAAAAATCTGTCGAAAATTTTACTCAGTCTAGGTGCAGTACCAATAGACTGAGAGAATCGAATATATACACACTTTGAAACTTTTACCGACTTCGGTAATTTTTTACCGAACATTCAACAGCTGAACTTGAAAGTTAGGTAAAACTTTGACCCTCATTTCAAATGCTGTTTCACTAAATGTTAATTTCAAAACACTGTCGGCCTTGTTTAAATAATGGCGTCGGGCCATTATGGTTAAGTTTTCCTTGTTTTGAAACCTTTAAACTAATTAATTAAAATGCCAGATTTTTACCGAACAGTTCAGCTGTTGAAAGTTCGGTGAAAATTATTCTGGATTTTT